GAAATTTTGTTGTAAGAATTTACACTGAATTAGTTTTTTTTTTATTATTATTATGTTATTTAAAATATGATAGATTGCTTTATAGTGTTTAGTCGTAACTTTAAAACATTGAATTAAAAAAATAAATAAAAATAAAAAAAAAACCTAGATAAGAGAGAACCTCCACATGAGATCATTGGGGAAAACACCGGGCTTACAAAGAAGAGGACTTCCGAGGCAACATTTTCAACGCTTTGCTTGAAGATCACCACCACACCCTCATTTTATTCTTATTTTATTGTTATATTCTAGAATTATTTTTATAACATGAAGTTATCTCTTACAACTAAGGATATGTACTAAGGGTCTGTTTGGGGCAGTTATTATTTATTAAATAATTTGTTAATAAATTGATTAAAAATAATTTGCTGATAAGCTAGGCGCGATGACTATTATTAATTTTTATTTTTTTGGGAAAAATCAGACCGCAGTCAGAAAGTTACCAGCACAACTAGATAGGTGTTGTGTGAAAATGTTGTTTTTAGCATTTTGAAAACACATAAGCTGCGAAAATGCAGTTACACAAATATGTCTGGTATATTTTCAAAATATTACCGCACCAAATAAGTTACACCAAATAGATCCTAAATCAATTAAAAATGTGATAATTATAACGAAAATATTGACCATTTATTTTTTTAAAAAAAATATAATTTCCTCTTAAGAAATTTACAATAAGTCTTCGTGAATGAAACCAGCTCGGTGGAATCGTGACGCGTGCAAATGCGTAGAAAATCAAAGTCCCACCGACCTTTGCGTGTGAAGTATTTTCTCGATCGAGTTCAAGATCGGCGGAATTATTTTTTCAAGCCACGAGTCCAGCAACGCCACCTGTCCGGTCTTGCTTGAAGTCAGATAAAGTAACCACAAGATATATTTATTTATTTTTAGATGGGAAGCATCATCCATCCCCTGCTTCCTGATCTGAACTCCTCAGCGGATCACACCCACGCCGCCCTATGGACAACCGCTCAATTCAATTCGCAGTAACAGCAGCAGTCTCGGTTTCTCATAATGTTGACCGCCCCCCCCCCCCCCCCCACTAAAATGTTGACCGAGATCCCCTTCTCCACCTTATTAGTCAGCAAAAGGAAGACGACATTCTTAGAGCATCATTTTTCTATTTTTATTTTTATTTTTACTGTGTAAATTTTAGGAAAATATTATAATATTTTTTAGACCAATAAAAAAAAAACGGAATAATTAATCAATTAGAGTCATCTGTCCAATAAACAATTACATGTGGATTACATATTTTTGTATGCGGATTATTTGAGATATCTAATTGGTTATGAATCCATTATGCATTCTGTATGGCCAGAAAATACCCCCTCGTTAAGCTAGGTAAAGTCATTGCAAGAGTCGCGCAAGCAGGGATTTTTCTCTTTTAGGTCGGCCTCCCTGGTTCGGCCTCCTTGGACTGGCCAATCGATCCACTAAACACAATGTATGAAAAAAATTTACCAATAATAATCTTCTCATCAAAGGCCAATGGAAGGACTAATAAAAAAACTAAGTCTAGCTACTAGTTCATGAAAAAGTATTTTTTGAACTTATGAATTTTTCATTCTTATTACAATATCGCTTCCAAGAAGTAAAAAAGTCAGAGTCGTGCACCTCTCTGAGATAGGATAAGCCATCGTCGGAGTTGTGCATGCAAGGATTTTCCCCCTTTAGGTTGGTCACCCAGTCCCTCAGGTCGCCCCCTTAGTTTGGCCTTCCAGGTTCGGACTTCCTAGTTCGGTGTCCTGGGGTAGGCCAACAAACTACAACTGATCGCCCAATGTCGACATGCTCCAATGCTTCAAAATGAAAAAAGGACCAAATATCCTACACCACTCTCCTTAAAGCAAGGGTATTATTGTAATATTATTTTTTTTCCATTATCTTCATCTATAAATAGAGGACATTTGTCATATGTGAAAGAGGGGGCTCTTTCTCTCCCTCAATCTCGCATTGTAATTTTATTTGTGTAGAATAAAAGGGGCAAAAAAGAGCCCAATAACAACCCTCTTTGCCCCCACCCCCCCACTGGACAACTCTCTTTCTCTTTCAGGTTCCCTTGGATTCCCCACTCTATCCTTTGGTCACAAGACAAACGACAGATTTGAGTTCAACACACTCCATGCATAAAAACGGAATAACTATATACCTCTGTAATATATTAAATTAATAAATATATATATATAGTGAGTTTTGAGCAAAAAAAATTGTTATGCGAAAACAATGTAGAAATTCTCACAAAACAATAAAACACAAAAGTTTTATGTGGTCGACATTCAATTTATCTACTTACGCTCTTAGGAAGGGAAATATCATTAACACTAGATGGGGAGAAAGAAATAGGTTAGGGGTTATAACTTCAACACATCTCATCATAACTCACCCATACACCCTTTGTCCCTTTTATAAAGGAAGATTAGGGCATACAAGTAAATAAAGTCAAAAGAGCAAATTACCCCTAATTACAACAAAGCCCATAAACGCAATAATATCCACCTCATCTTTTTTCTTCCAGATAAGTGAGAGATGACCAAATAAGCTCCAAAACTCCAATTCAATTGCACTAAGATGGTTTCCTACATACTCCTCTCCCAAAGGGATCAAGCCTTTGTATAGTTCTTAAAATACTCAAATGGGCAATCCGTTCTGAGCTCGAATGTTCTCGAAACTCCTGCAATAGACGAATTTCTGGATTCGTAGTACCTTCTGAACATAAGCATTTTGTAAAATCCAAATCTTTTTAGCTATCTTGTACCTGAGAATCTTCATATCGAGAATTCTGCAAGCTTCACCCAACACATTTATTTCAAAATATTTAGATAGTTAATTCTTCATAACATAATCTGACTAGCATATGCAAATATTTTCAACATATAAAAACAAGTAAATGAACTCATTGTTGGGCAGCTTCTTGAAATACACATAATGATTATATCAACTCCTCTTGACATGTGCTGTTAAAACTGTTATACAACTATTGTGGTGTCTTCTTCAATCCATACAAAGACTTATCTAGTTTGCAAACCAAGTCTTTCGATGCTCCATATCCAGGCGATTGCAACAAATAGATCTCTTCTTGCAATTCATTGTGTAGTAATGCAGTCTTTACACCAAGTTGTTCCAAGATCAGACTGTGTTAAGCTAAATGTTCTAAGAGAACACTGATCGAGGGTCGCTTGACCACTGAGAAGAACACCTCATCATAAACAATCCATTTACATTACACAATGTCTTTTGCCACTAATCTTATCTTATACCGCACATAAAATCCATGAGATTCTTCCTTCTTTGCACGTACCCATTTGCACCCGATAACTTTCCTTCCCATAGAAAGCTTCACCAACCTCTAAGTACCATTCTTCCAAAAAGACACCAACTCTTCATAAATTGTCACTCTTCAAAGATCACAGACTGCTCTTCACCGCTTCTTTGTAGTTACAAGAATTTTTTTTCTACATTGTTAAAAGTGCAAATGTAATGTGATCCTCAACTAAGCTAGTTTTGGGATATTTTGGCTCCTAATCCTGCTCTTAGCAATAGATTCCTAACCAGGAGTCTCATCCTCAGTATCTTCTTTCACTTCCTCTTGAGTATTATCAACATATAACTCCTAAGCTGCAACTGAATCAAACATCTGAGTCAAAGTGGATGAATTCTATGGAACTATTGAAGTTGCATCAAATTTTAACTTCTATTGCATATTTGTGGTCTCAATAGAACTCTTCACTTGCTTTGAGTCCTGATTTTTTAATAAGCTTATCTCTTCGAATATAACATATCTGCTAATGGAAACCTTCGTTTCTGACTGATATATAGCTTGAATCCTTTGACATGACTCCTAAAACCAATAAAGATTGCCACGTGGTTCTAATTTATTATTCTACATGAGGCAGTAAGCAGGATACCTAAACACTCTCATGTGTTCATTATCTCTAGCAAGATACCTCGATCACATCTTCTTTGTGGTTTTCTTCTCAATAGTTGTATAAAGCATATGGTTCACCAAGTGACAGACATAGTTTATGGCTTCAGCTCAATATACTCTATCCAACTCAACATTGGATAACACACACCGAAATTTCACCATCAAAATCTTGTTCATCCTCTTTACCACCTCGTTTTGCTGTAATGTCCCTTGAATAGTGAAGTGATGCTCTATCATAGTTCTCTGAAACTCTTGCAAGAAAGCATCTGAAGTGTATTCAACCCAATTGTCTGATCTAATACATTGGATCTTTTTACCAATATAAGTTTCAAGCCACATTTTCTAAGTTATGAAAATCTCTACAACCTTACTTTTATTCTTCATGGTGTACACCTAAATATACACGAAGTAATCATCAATAAAAGAGAGAAAGTATCATTGTTCACTAAATGATGTTTCCTTCATCAGACCTCAAACATCTGTGTGAATATACTCTAAGATATACATTTTGTATTGTGAATGACAGTACCAAACGATACCCATTTTTTCTTGTTAAATACACAATGTTCACAAAAAAAATTAACTTGTTGGTGCTTGCACCTTTGATCAATCATCATATCACCAAAACCTGAAATAAAGCCTCTCTAGCATGTGCTAGCCGCATATGTAATAACAAAGTGAGCTTAAAGAATCATCAGCAACACCAAACATTCCAGTCATATACTACATTGAAGATAATAAAGATTGTGATAATGAATCTCCTTCATAAATATTATTACTCCATGGCATATCCTCATAACTATCACATCAATAATTACCTTAAAAAATTTGGACTCTAAAGCTTTAACAGACAGTAACATAATAAAATTATAAAATATAATATATTTTATTCAAATTCATAATTAAAAAAAAATACAAAAATCCCATTTAGTCAGCAGTTTACACTTTCTTTTTACGCAAATCATGTGAAATGATTTCACACAGGATGTGATAATTTCTCCATCGCCTTTCCTATAAATAACCACCTACCTTTCTATACTCCGTACCTTAAACTCACGATTCCCCTCCTCTGCTAACATCCATGGCTTCTCGTCTCCTTCTCTCCTTCCTCCTCTTCCTGCTCATCTCCATTGCCACCTCCTCCCCTCCTCTCCTATCAAACCTCAAAGAAAAACAAACCCACCTCCACTTCTTCTTCCACGACATCGTCAGCGGCCGCAACGCCACCGCCGTTCCAGTCACCAAACCCGCCGCCGGAGCCCATCCCCAGTCGTTCTTCGGCATGATAGCCGTAATGGACGACCCGCTCACCGACGGGCCCGACCGCAACTCCACGCTCCTGGGCCGGGCCCAAGGCCTCTACGCCGCAACGGACCAGGAGGAGGCCAGCCTTCTCATGACCATGAACCTGGCCTTCACGGCGGGGAAGTACAACGGCAGCGTTCTCTCCGTGCTGGGCCGCAACCAGCCCCTCCACCCGGTGAGGGAGATGCCGATCGTCGGAGGCAGCGGGCTCTTCCGCTTCGCGAGAGGGTATGCGCTGGCACGGACTCATTGGTTTGATCTCACCACCGGTGATGCTACCGTGGAGTATAATGTGCATGTCATACATTATTGACAAGTGCTGTTTCTACATGAATGAGTTGGGAGAGTGACGATACGCATCGTTGGTTTTGTTCTTGTACCTGAATAAACTTTTTAGTGAAAATTAGTGTTTTATTTTCGTTTATACTCCGCTTTGAGAATTAAATTATTTTGAGCTAAGTACGGATGTCAGTTCATCCAAATCAGATAAGAAAATGGTTCGGCTAAACTAGGTCAATCCGAATCCGACTAAAATCATAAACTGGTTGAAAAATTTAACGGGAACCTGAGTCGACCCATACATGGTTAATTCAAACTATAAATAGTTGAACTTTATGGCATGTCATCACAACTGACCACTACGGCCTATGTAACCAACTGCAACCTACGTGGTTCACAACATTTGGAGATCCCTATTCCAGCCCCCACGGCCTACAAATGTTGTCATTGCTCACAACTAAGACCTACACAAATAACTACCACGTACATGGTTCACAATTTGTGTCGTTTCTTACTTTAGCCCTTGTGATCTATGGACATCTTCACGACTCATCATAATAGCCCATGTGACTAACTACTGCCTATGTGGCTCATAGCTTTAGTAACTTCCTATTATGGCCTATGTGGTCTATCGACGCTAAGCAACTATCTGTGGTCCAAAAGACCAACTACTACAATGACTTTTAACTATTGTCTATATAACAAGTTGGTACTACGACCATCGTCTATAACATTCACAAAGGACTACCACCACCAAGGCAATTGACTACGACCCATGCAACATACTTTCTTCAAGAGCTACATTCATTGCAGTCATATTACACATATTATCGATTACCTACTATTTTACATTTATAATGATCATCTTTACTCCTTCCTAATTTAGGAAAAAAAATTGGCTTGTGTACTCATCATTCATAGTGGAATACTTCAACTGGCCTAGGTCCCATGGTATTTTTTCTTTTTTAGTGTTTTTCACGTAAAAATTGAGGTGTCTCCTATTGCTTACTTCTCTCTTTGATTACAAAGTATGTGTTGGATTTATGTTTAACACTAAGATGCTAAATAATCAATTTGTCGTTGCAGACGTTCCGACACATATCAATTATAATGAAAAACTACAATAACATGTTCTTGAAGAAATATTTTTTGTAGAAATTATTTAAATAAATGTAACAGGTAATGTATAGTGTTACAATGATAATATTAAACATAATTGTTTGAAAGAATGCTTTATCAATTTTAAAAATATACTTTCATCAAAATGTTTTTTCAGCATTTAAAAGCATTTGTAATCGAATTTAGACATCATAAAAATTTAATACAATGATTAACTAGCACTTATGATATTTTATCTTGACAAAATAATAACCGATGATAAAATATATTCATCAATTATTATTTGCTTATAATTGATGGCTTAATAAGTCCGTAATAATTAAAAGCGTCCAAAAAAATATTAGTATTGATAAGCAATGATCTGTCATATAATTATACAGTCGCAAATAATCCATATCATAAATCGTAGCCAGACCTTCCAAAAATAAATCTTTTTTCTGACGAAAATTGAGGCTGTCAATTTTACTGTTGGTTTTAGCATTTTTTTTCTATAGCGTTTGTTTGTAAATCACACCCTAAAGAATTGAGCCTAAGCCAAGAGAGAGATAGAGAGACAAAGAGAAAAGTGAACAGTAATGAATAATAATTCACCGTGTCTTATTCATGAAATGATCTTCTCTTTTATTGGGGAGAAAGTACAATATGATGATATTACATTTTTTCTATATTTTAATGACGTTTCACGATATTCAAGGTATTTTATATGTATGATCCTATCTCTCAGGTGCTTTGGCTTGATCGGCTAAGCTATTATGGCTTTAGCTCAACAGGATTGGTTCAATTAGCTAGGATTAGTTGGCATCTCCGATCGACTGAGCTTAATTGGCTTTAGGTCAACATGTCTGGTTCATATCACTAGGCTTTGTTAGTGTTGTCGATCGTTTGATCTAGTTTGACTATCGACCCTCGATCTCTAATGAGGAACTCCTGTTGGCAGAGCAATGATGGACTATCGAGCAGGGTAAATCGTCGTAACCTGATTGACAGGTCACTCTTCAATGAGGAGAGCCTACTAGATGACTATAAGACTCTTTATTGTATTATTAATTCTTGATCCCTGATAAAAAGTTTCAAAAGCATCAATGGGATGATTTGTGATATTGTTGGGTTGCATCTTTCCTCACATCAGACCTACCAGAAGGTAGTTGCTACCTTCGGTCGGATTTCTTATGATGGTTGGCTTGAATATATCTTTGTCTTGTTTAGGATTGAATAGCTCAGAGTCAGTCACCTTTGTGACTCAATTAGCTTAGACCTTGCTTTCTTTGGCTCGAATGGTTGCATCTGATCAAATAAGTAGGTCTTCAAGTCAATGTCGGCGTACTCTTCTTTATCGTACTTTCTTTCTTCTAGATCGTTAGATATTCTCATGATCAGTGTTTATATGTTTTTGGTGTACGTATTTTAGTTCATTGACTCTCTTACTTTTGAAGAAGATGATGTGATAAAAATAAAAGAATTTAATGAAAAAAGAAGATATTATTTATTTTTAATCAGTGATTCAAAAATTGAACTAGATTACGATATCTTTGGTTCTAATAAATAAATCTTGATGAAACTTTTTGACATTCTATATTTATTTTTCAACTTTTCTTTTGAATCGATTTGTTTCCAAGTGCTATCATTGAGAATATGTTAGATCTTCCAATCAGTCCCCCCAGTAAGAAAATGTTTTTTGTCACCTTTGGGAGATCAAATGAGTTGTACCTCCCAGAATATGAAAAGAATAAGAAAAGTAATACCAAGAAGCAAAAAGTGCCCGTGTCAGTGCATCAATTAAGTTTGTCTGATTCATTCATCAGTCATCAATGGATGAAAGTTCAACGATTGACCTGACCATTAATTCATTGGCTCAACCGTCTGTGGTAGTACAAGACCTACCAATTGAATGTACCAAGGATAAAGTTGTTAGTGCTTTGTCATCACTCGAGATGCAAGAAGCTATTGGTACTCTACTATTGCTTAGGATGCAAGAAACTACTGATGCTTTGCCGCCACTCGATGAGAGCAACTTATCAGTTTATCATCTTAGTGTGATAGACACCAAGCTATGAGGAGTTTCGCTCTTATTTGTCAGTTTTGATTTTCTCTGGGTCTCCTTCTCTTTACTTCATTTTTTATGTAGCTGGACTGCTGGACTTCGGTGATGATTCGCCTTTGAAAAACATTACAACACCAGTGGTGGTTGTTCAAGCATCAATTGAATGTGACCGACTCTTGAACAATCGACGATGATCCAAGAAGAAGTAGTTCAGCTATAGGACACATGCATATATGATTCCTCCACCATTCTTTGGGTCACTGATGAGCACAGCCAAATGACAACTCCATATGTCCTTGACCTTGCCTTTTATAAGGAACAATTTTGTTTTGGCTTGAGACAGCATCAGTTGTCCTCCATCAGGCTGAAAAATCGAAATTTTTATGTTCAGGGGCCCTTTCTCCAAGTCCAAGAAGATAGTACTGAATCGGGTGATGGTGGAATCAGTAGGGGCGAAGACCAACAACATTTTGTCCACTTGTATCTCAGTCTGTTGATTCTCAACCGGTGTTACTTTAGGACGACAGGCCATTTACTTAACCAACTAATAAAACTTGAGCTAATTAACAACCCAAATATAAGCTCTTCAAGAACTCCTGGCTATTTTGAAAGCCATATCGACCCACAATATGGGAGAGTTCAGAGGTAGAGTTGTCACGACTGATTAAAAGTCTATTTGTGACAACTATAACTATTTGAAGAAGCAACCGTAAAGTTACTGAAAAAAAAAATACTCTTCCAAATAATACGTCAACTATTATAAATTTTTTTTTTTGAAATAATTAGAACACAACTTTTTCATCAGCTACCGCACTTAAATTTTATTTAAGAAAACATTCAAACTCCCTTCAACCATTGCGGACGTCGATGCATGTAAATTTATTTTTATTTTATAAATCAAGATTTTCCGACGCACCGCCACGTGCCCGAAGTGCGGATGGAGAGATTACAAAGCTTTGTCGTTATTTCTGTTACCGTGCCGGGACCACTTTGCGCGTGGCAAAGCTTCATGCATGCAACTCTTGCTTCGTGTTCCAAACACCGCAGCAGATCAGCGCCGCCTAATCAAGGCTTTAATACTAGAAACTCCCATAAGCCTCGGTTTTCCATAACGTTGACCAACCTACAAAAAATATTGACGCATTAATCCCCTGCCGCCCACCCGCCCCCAAAACACCGTACACGTTTCACAGCCCAGCGCCGCTACTCCCTAATTTCAGACTTAGAAGCACAAAAGTCAATTTAACTTTGACTAACATTCGAACGTAAATACAAATATATTATAAGAAGGCTATTTTCTCAATTTTAATTTTATTTTAATCTTTTGGACATGTTTAGAACTCGCTCATCCCGCACACAAACTTTTAATTGTAGCGAAAGCATGAAACATTAACCATAAATGAGGCCGATTGAACCCATTTTAACTTTCTATTTCTATATTTTATTTTTTACTTTATTTTATTTACATGTTCAATTGAAACAAATATATTTGACACAATTAATTAAAATATGATTGTTAAAAAAAATTAAAAACCTTTAAAAATTATTTTTAGTATGTTAAAAATATATTAATGTGTTTTAAAAAAATAAAATATGTAAGAAAATTCTAGACAAACATATATAAAAAATAAAAAAATAAAAAAAAAATGCCAAAAGAACACTTAAATTTTAGTAAAAATTAAAATCATTTGCGAAACCCGCATACTTCACTCATTAGAATCATCACACACACTATTTATTTCATGTGGAACATTAAATAGTTTTATCTACTTGTTATTTGAGAAAAAAATATTGATTCAGGAATACTTATGCAAAATAATAATAATAATAATAATTTAATACATGAATGAGTTTGTCTGTACATGTGATAGATCCTGATTGGAATCCTGATGCAAAACTACATCAAAACTACTAATGCATTATTTTTTCGTTATTTGAACCATCTAAATCATTATAACAACTCTACGCCCTCCATAAACTCAAAATACTTAAAACTGAACATTTTTATATTTCTTCAATATGTTAACAAATAAACATTAAAATATAATATAAGTAATTCAACTTCATACTCTTAAACATAAAAAATATACTATTAAATCAACCAATTACACTTCTTTTTCATTCAAACTACGTAAAAAAAAAATTTACAAACAAACTAATAATTACTCCATTACTCCTCTCTAATCTTTATATACACCAACCAAACAGCCGTATAGTCATTTATCCCTCTCCTCTCCTCTCCTCTCCTCCACCAATCGCCATGGCTTCTCGTCTTCTCCTCTCCTTCCTCCTCTTCCTCCTCCTCTCCCTCACAGCCGCCCACAAACACAACCTAAAACAAAAATACAGCCACCTCCACTTCTACTTCCACGACAGCATCACCGGCCGCAACGCCACCGCTGTTCCAGTCACAAAACTCGCCGCCGGAGCCCATCCTCAGTCGTACTTCGGCATAATAGCCATAATGGACGACCCGCTCACCGAAGGCCCGGAGCTGAACTCCACCCTCCTGGGCCGTGCCCAAGGCCTGTACGCCGCGACGGGCCAGGAGGAGGTGAGCCTGCTCATGACCATGAACCTGGCCTTCACGGCGGGGAAGTACAACGGCAGCGTTCTCTCCGTGCTGGGCCGCAACCAGCCCCTCCACCCTGTGAGGGAAATGCCGATTGTCGGCGGCACCGGGCTTTTTCGCTTCGCGAGAGGGTATGTGCTGGCAAGGACTCATTGCCTTGATCTCGACACGCTGGATGCCACCGTGGAGTATGATGTCCACGTCATACATTACGGAAAAATACTAGACGTTTGACTCACGCGTTGATCCCTTGTGCCCATAGAATAAGCTTATTAGTAAAAATTGCTGTTTTTATTTTCATTTATATTTCGATTGGAGAATAATATGGTTAAAAGAGAGTTGCTTGTAATAGATGGTGTTTTTTTTTTTTTTTTTTTTTTTTTTTTTTTAAATTTATTAAATAAAAAGAGTGTATTTATTACATGGTGTATGATGTTTTATCAAATATAGGATAAAAAGAGAAATTGTTGTGTATGGATCTTCGGGTGTAAACGAGCCGAACATGAGTGAGCCCGGGCTCAGTTCGTGTTCGTCTCGTTTATATTTTGAGCTCAAAAAGTGTGTTTGTGCTCGGCTCGTTTGCTTAACGAGCTGAATACGAGTTATTCACGAAAAATGAGTCGTTTTGACAACCCTAATCACGTAGCCATAAGATGTTAAGGGTTGGAACAAGTTTAAAGATTATTGTTTATATTAAAGCATCATTTGAATCTAATTTAACAATTTTTATTCTATTTTCTTAATTCATTATTTTAATTGATTATAAATCTTTGTAGCCTTATAGTCAATTAAAATTTTTAAAAATATTACTCATCAATATATATATAATTGATGAGTGGTAATTCGAGCCAAGACGAGCCGAACATGAACGAACAAATTTTTGTTCGTGTTCGGCTCCTGCACATTTCGGAAGAAATTCGGCTCGTTAACTTAGTGAACAAGCTGAACACGAGTTTCTTGACGAGCCGAACACGAGCTGTTCGTGAACAACGAGCTGTTTTGACAGCCCTATATGGATAGTATAATTTATAAAAAAAATATATTTTAAGACTCAAATTTTAGATTTTGATATTAAGAAATTCACTTAGGCATGTGCTAGTGGAAGCTTTTGTTTTAATTACATATAATTAAATAATAAAATCTTATAAATTTCTTAATTATATAAACATATATTTTTTCTTTCATGTTTGAGATATGTTAATTCATAAGAATTGTCGGCCTATTTAACACGTAAATTTTTATATTTTCATATATTAAACTTAGATCGTTAACATCACATAATAAATACAACCTTTTATAACTTCTTAAAATATATGGTTTTATAACCCTAAAATGATATAAATGTTAATATCAAACTTTTGGTGTAAGATATATAAATACATAAAAATTGTGTGGTATGAACGTAAATTTCTCTAAATTACACTGCATAACTTAATTATATTAGTAACATATATTTTAAGAAAATAAATTTATATACATATATTAAGAATTTTGAGTTATCGAGCCCGTGCACGTAGCATATGTAGCAGCAGTGTGCGCTAAAGTTGACTGGGACTTCCCGGAAATACTTCTAGTCATGTACATCACATAAAAATGATATACGGCCCAAAATATTAAGCATATGATCCACACAATATTAAAACAAAAATTGATCCAAACATATGGTAAATAAAATGTGATGTATTTTCTAAGTGGTTGTCTCATCCCGACCTGACGGATGTCAAGTCACTACAGAAATTTAGGATTTTTTCGACGGCTACAGTCTGTTGGTTATGACAAGAAAAACCGTTGTTTTTAATATTACCGACAAAATATCAATGATTTTAAGCTCGTAGGTAAAAGAGAGCCGACCTCAGGCGTCAGGTAGTACTACAATCCGCAATCGTGATCCTTCTGAGTACAATCTATGGAGGTAGGCTGTTGGAGGGAAAAAAAAGGTCGAGTATACTGGCTCGGGTCATAGGTGTCTGCCTACGATGCCCACTTCTCTTCTTGTGCATCTGTAGCTTCTACCTCTACTGCTTAGGAGGAGAAGGACTCTAGGCGTGTTGTCGCATTCGCTGCCGAGATGGAGGTCAGCGTCATTCAGATGATGTCGGAGCTGGAGGCAAACATGAAGGCCAAGCTGAAGGCCGAGTCAGATTCGTTCCGGCAACGTGGCAAGGGAGAGGGTGAGGATGAGGAGATATAAGAGGAGGATTAGGAGGGATATTTTTCTTTTGCTTTTTCTTTCTTTGATTATGTTGTACATTTGAACATACATTTCTTCAAAGAAAAGTAATTTATTTATATTATATTAAATGCATTTTGTTTATTTCATTATTTGATTAGATAATTTATTATTTCGAACACTATTTTAGTTCGTTAAATTCTTGGAATTGTAATTAAATATTACGATAACATGTGTGGTAATGTAAATATGAAAGGGAGAATCTATTTTTTTATTGACAGTGCAAGTTTCCGACAGCCTACCGAAGGTGTAGCGACCACTTTTAACAAATTAGTTTCCATAAATGATGGCTAGACGATGGACTTAATCACCAACGCATAAGCAACACCGAACTGACAACTTAACAGCGTCATAAGAAATCGATGGCCATGAAAAATTTCTGACAGTTTTTTTCATCAGCTATCAAAACCAACTCATCAGCGACACATAACCCACAGTAAGCCCAAGTAAAAAAAGCGACAGACATGACACTTACAACTTGAAGACTGTCGCTAATGCAAACAAAATAAATCATTGGTTATAAAAACTGAAGAGAACCGACAAATTGAAATTTCTTAAAAAATCTACAACAAAAGTTCATCGATTATGCCTCGGAAAGTTTATGTCGTTGGAGTATTATTCGGTTTTAAAATTACTGACAAGCATTTTTTTTATGAGCTTAAAACAGTTGATAAGTCTTCAGAAACATCAAAAGTGATGGTATTTCTCTAGACAACCGATGGCATGTGGTTGTCAGAAAAGAGTATTATTCTTGCTGTGAACTGACTAATGTAAAAAATAAAAGTTTCATTTCATTTAAAGAGAAAATAGTTAATAAATGGATCCAAGGATACTTCAGCCAAGGCATACCCTAGCAGAAATAGCTTTCAAAATAAAAACTATCCACTAGAAGAAAATTGACTTAACTTATTTAACTCTATTTGAGTTTGAAGAGACAGGGACAAATTGTTGTGAGCTTGTAAGATCCTGTTGTAGAGTGGACACCATCTAATTCACCATCGATAGCTCTTATTCTAACAAAGTCATGTAGGCGAATACAGTCTGCATCTCCAAGTTTAGTTAGAGCGCTAATAATCTCAGATAGGCGATAGTCCAACTCCTTATGATCTGCATGGGATGAATGCACCTATTCTTCTATGTCAATAATAAGGTGTATGTGTGGCGATCAATCTGGGCACATCCTCTGAAGGGTTGATCATCTCTTTCCACCATCTTACCCCTCACCCCCCTAGTGAAGCATCATTCAAACTCAGATGGGTTTCATCTTATGTCATTCATATAAACGATAAAATCATCAACCGATAAGAAACCACAGAGTATCTCGATCAAACACAAAAACATACCTATATATTTGATCAATTAAAACAAAATGGGTTATAGAGGAGGAAGTTGTTACAACGACAAAGAATAAGTAGGCAACCAAAAAGTCTGACGTTTCATTGTACCAAGGGTTGTGATGGGCTGTGCAGGTGGTATATCAGACGATTGAATAATGGATCTCGTCTGAGGGAAATCCATGGCCGTGAGTAGAGCGCCCCCGGGAACCACTCAAAAGAGCCAATGTGATATGAAAGAGAGACTCTCGTCTTCCTTACAACAACTTCTTTTTACAGCCACCTTCGAGGTGTTTTATGCCTTTTTCCTCAGCAAATAGTCCATGAAACAACTTGCAATGGGTGCCCGACATTGAAGAAACATGTCCATCACGAGAAATCTCTCAAAACGGAGCACAAAATAAGGGAAAATGACCAAGCAAAACTAGAAAGATATAATCACATATTTTTAAGCAATCATGAGCACAGAAATAAAGGGACTATTAATTGGTAAGAGTTAATTAAAAAATCTAAAACCACTGTTGAGTTTAATTCTCTCTCTTATCACAACCTGTAACTTATGAATATACGAGAGAGTTGGAGAACTAAAATATGTTTGATCAAAGTATGTTGAATTAGATCCGACCACCTTGAATCGGACATGTGTCAAACAATCCACCCTATCAAATACAAAGAGCCGTAAATTGACACAAGGCAAATTATCCAGTCGATCTAACCTGGAAGGAGAATAGAGAATCTTAACAGCATTATCTATATTTCACAATATAACTTTTATTTATCATAAATATGAGAACAGGAACAAGGGAAGGCTAAAAAAGATTATTAGTTTTACAGTCACAACTCTTTCTCTTCTATATTTCTCTCTTTATCTCTCTCCTCCCCACACTGTATTCCTTGGATGTGATCTACACTCAAATCTAAGTTCAACCCGCATGTAATTTTCTGTCAGAGTAATAGCTCTAATGAGTTAAATATACCGTATTCTTTCTTGTTGCTCTCAAAAGAACATTATATTTCTTAAATTCGATACATTAAAAATAAAATAAAAAAAAAGAAAGTTGACATTATTGTAATATCTTCTTTTTCATGCTGGCCAATGTTCCAAAGTTTGAACGGAGGGGATCTGTTAGTCAACATATTGGTGGAGGGTGATCAACATTATGAGCGACTGAGACTTGTGGAATTGGCCGAATTGAATTTGGGCTGAGTTTGGCGCAAGCCGCAGGGGGTGGCATTTTGCGACTTTTGGTTTCAACAGCTAGAAAAATGAAATTAAATCTTGTGCATTAGAGACTAGAATGGTCCACGAGATACCTTGGCAAAGTAGACTTCTTGAACACAATAAAGACAAAGCGAGAGGAGTTGCTTGACAGGTGGCTTGAAAAAAGAGATCCAGCAATTCTAGAACTCTAGGAAAAAAGTGAAGCTGCAAAACTAGATGTATTTATATATATATATATATA